GTTTTCCTAATGCGAACTCGGTTAGCACGATCGCTATTGAACCCATAAGATATTGATACTGGATCCCAAGGACGCCCAAATATGATTAGGATCTAATCCCCAAACATTGAACCAAGTAATCGAAAGTATATTAAACCAACGACCTCTTGATTACAAAGTCTCGAAATCACATCCAGATTGTGCATTTGAACCAATAAAATATGAACAAGAAAATCCAACAAGAACGATACTTGAAAGACCATTGATTACATAATCCAAAGATTCAACCCGATATTTTGAACACCACAAGAAATTAAATTCTCGATAAGTTCAGTATTATTGTTCCATCAAAAAACAAAATTGAAACAAAGTTTTGAAGATAATTTTTATTGATTTGTGAAAAAGACTTCTAATTGTTACAATGAAAATAATCTCCTATTTATACTAAAATCCTAGAATAATGAAATAAAGAAAAATATAATTAAGAATTCTAAGAATATGGTTAAAACGTGCATAAGAATCCTAGAAAATATAAAGTTACAAAAAAAAAGTATTTCTATCAAAATAGAATTCTCTCACAAAAGGAAAGATTTTCATCTTGGAATATCTCTATGCGGTCGCATAGTAGAAATCAATGCAGTCGCATGGAACAAACATCCAGCTTCAATTTTTGTTCTGCCCTATAGTATGCAATCGCATGATTTTTTTGAGCTATGCGGTTGCATAGTTCAAAACTTGACACTTCTTTTTGTGTAGAACTTTGTGACGATTTTGAATTGTACTTATGGGCGACAATCCAACACCCGAGCAGAAAGTTATGCCCATTTTAATCCACGATGCTCTTTTTCCATATATTGTCCAAAATTTTGAATCCAATTCTCTTCGGCTCTCAACTCCAATATGAAAGTGACTCCTTGACATGTGAACTTCATTATTTTGGACCCTGTGACCTCGACACTTAATTGCATAATTTTATTGGCTTGATCAAACTCGACTTTGCACTTACTCTCTTCCCACCAATCATGGAACTTGTTATCTTCAAGATGTTGGACTTGGTTGTTCGAACATATAAATTACCATCTTTATCAACTACTTCGAAGTCTCGAACTTGGCTCGAACACTTAGTTTGCGTGGCTTGTTGGCTAGAATTAAACTTAAACTCTGCACTTGGCTTTCTTCCAACAATAATCAAATTCTCGGTAGTTTGGTGCGCAACTCAGATCAAATTATTTCCTTTCTCCTATTTAAAATATTTCCTTTTTATTTGGATTAAGAAATATATAGCTTATAAATTCGTCTAGCATACATGTAATTGAGCAAGGGTTGTAGTCTTGTAGAAAGTTTACTTGAAATCTCAAAATTAAAATTTGAATCACTTGCCTCCGTCTTTTTTAATATAAAACAAATATTTGGTATAAATCCAATCAGTACGAATTCATTATTGATTAAGCGCGATTTTTTATAGAAATTGGCACGATCAATGAATGAAACCAAACAAGAAGAAAAATGGAAAATTGCTTCATACAATAGAAGCAAAATCTGATAACAGGTTTTATCTGCCACAACTAATTAGTGCAGAACAGAGACGAATTTTGGGGGAGGGGAGGAGGGCTGGACCGAGCTACGGCCCGGTCCAGTCCCAGCCCAAGTCCAAGTTGTTTGTGGGAATTTTTAATTTTTTCCTTGAAGTAGCCCGGTTAAATATTGAGTCAACCTAATTTACTTCCAGTCCAGCCAAACTACCAAAGTCCAAACTCCATTCTTTATATTTTCTTTGCAGCCCACTAGCCCAATAACTGAATCCACTCCACCAATTTTTTAAAACCCTTATATTGGCTGAAAATCTCTCATCTTTCTCATTCTACGGGCCCCGCCAAGTAACCCGAGTTGCCGACACACTTTATTGAAAGACCAGGTTTGTCTCTTAATCTCTTTCACTCTTTGTCTTTATATAAATTTTCTTCTTGTCATTTATTTTATTTTCAATTTTTGCTATATATCATTATATCTAAGTTGGCAGTAGGTTTAGGGCTAAGAAATTGAAATTGAAATTGTAGAGTGGAGGGTTTTTTCATTTGTGAATTAATTTTAAATTCTTTGAATGAAACATTTTGCTATATTTTAATTTTATTGGTTGTATTTATAGAGAGTTAACTTTTTATGTTTTATGTATAATCTTTAGAAAAAATAATTTATTCTTTAATTTTTTTTCTTAGTTTACTCTGCTTGTCTGCCAATGCCCAATGGGGAATTTCCAAATTTATGAGCATGCTAATTGATGGTTGTTTATGTGTAGAATG